TATTAATGCAAAATTCCTAAAGAGGTACTACCCTTGAAGTAAGATGATGCTCCTTAAGGTACGAGCCTAAACTGCATGTCACTCTTGGCCTGCAAGAATATAAACTGTGTACGGCACAATAAAAAAAAAATAATAAAAAATCACTCAATCCCCCAGAACTACGTTGTGACTTGATCATTTTCACTGAGGTACGTAGGCGCTTAGAATATATTCTAAGTTCAGTTGCATGAGTGTCAAAAAACCATATGTTCCCACTTAATATGTCACATGACAGTCAAAGCGATAAGTATTTTGTTTTATCTTTTGTCTCATCAAACTTTAGACTTGTACGAAGTATTGATTGGCCAATAGATGGGGGCAAACCCTTATAAAATATGAGCTTCTTTGATAGTAAGCTTGAAGTCTTTAAATTCAAACAAGTATGCAAGCTTGAAGTCTTCAAACCCTTCATGTATACAAGTTGAATTCTTCAAATCCTACAAAATAATAAGATAAGTCCTACAAGTTTGCATGTTAGACTATTAAATCAACCAAGCTGCAAGTCAATGTCTTTCAATTCTATGAATTTACAAGTTAAGGCCCTAAAACTTGTTGCAAATTGAAGAATTAAATTCCACAAAATTCATAATTCAAGTTTGAATGTGCAAACTTAAAAATGTCGAACTTGTACTATATTCATTCTTATTGGAATGCAAAATATGGAATGCCTTTGAATTACTAAAAACTTGCAATCAAGAATTAAAAAGCAAATTCAAATTGGATTATGCAATAAAAATGCATGATATAAAAAAAGAGAGGAAGAACTTCATTACTATAAAATTGTCTAGAACATCAATCAAATGCTAAAGAAAACAAAAAAAAAGGGAAACACAAAGAAAAAGCCTAATCTAAGCGTAACTTATAGTTAGTCAAATCTTAACGACTAGCCTCCAAGCACTCTTTTCTGTTCCAAATGAATTGAATGTTCAAGCGTTAATAAACTCATATTTTCATACGAGGATATCTCATCTTCTGTAGCTAAAATCTTGGCATGAATCTCCTCAACATTCTTTTTAGCAGCTTCTAAAACAACTTCAAGTCCCTCTCGCTCTCCTTGTAAAGTTGCTAGCTTCCGCTTAGCCTTCTTTAGTGATTTCTTGATAGAAGAAACATGTTTTGGCTTCTCACCCTCTTCTACTTTGAACAATTCGAGACGTTCTTTGGCATTGGAAAGCAACTCCATCTTCTTATTTTCATGCGCCTTGTCAACAAAATTAGAATGTTCTTGATCATAAGAAGTAGCATGATCAAAAAGAGAATCTACCAAGCTCTTCAATGGTGAAAGATCTAACAAATTCATCTCACTCATCTCCTTGAAAATCTCAAAAATATCATCTTTGTAAGATGAAATATTGTCTAGAGAAGTTCTGGAAAGTTTTCCATAAATCTCTTCCCAAAGACCCAAGATGTACTTCCTTTTGTGGTTGAACACAACACCTTTTCCTTTGAAGACAAACATAGCTCCATTACTCTTTGGAAGAACTCGAGAAAGCTCATTTGAATTAGGTGTCAACCCTTTTAAAGTTTGGGCACGAGAAGTAGATGAAGTTTTTTGCTCTTGCTCAATATTTGAAATTGATTTTGCCTTAGGTCTTGATATTGCAATAGACTCATCGCTAACTTGTGGCCTTTCATGTGGCGATCCTAGTGGATGTCCGGCAGCGTTAACCTACAAGTGAAAAGGGTGGGTTAGCAAAATCATGTTATTCAAAAAAAAAAAAAAAAAGGAAACCTTGTCACTCTGAATCGTCATTGATCTTGAAGGACTATCGACACTTTGAACTTCTACGACTCTTAAATCAACAACTTCAGCCTCGGATGGTTCAACCATTTGCCTCTTCCAACATTGATCCTTGCTAGTTTTGCTTGTTTCTTAAAGGGCTCGTTTACTAGAGAAGAGAAATTGGGGACATTTCTCTTTATCAGTATAAGTATGAACTACTTCTTTCTTAGATACCTTAGAGGAGTTAAGCTTCTTACTTTGATGTTGGGGAGCAAGTGGTGTCTTGACTTTTGAAAGTGTCTTCTCGATATCTTGACTTTTGTCTTATAAATGGTAACAAATTCTGACCCAGCTCTCCACCATAACATCCAAATTATCCTCAAGAACCATTCCATAGGATCTCTCCCGCCAAGATGAATATTGGGTAGTATAAAGATTCTTTGTGGAAGTTATCGCAGGAGGAAATGTCGTTTTAGACATAGTTGCACGTGATATGCAAATGCGCTAATATCTAAGGCCTTCATCGAGCGACTCAGCACGAATATCATTTTCTAAATAGTCAGGAATATCTTGATGAAAACCAAATTGACAACTAAATCGGTGTGGACTATATGGCTCAATGACAAATAAACCTCCCCTCCTTAATGGAAGATAATTAAAACGAAGGCTCATAAAAAAAGCCTCAAGTTAGTGATCTTCAAGGCGGGGACATTAAACACATCCCTTCACACCTTATGCTTAAGTATTCGGAACCTTGTAACGCCTTGAGAGTAGTATTTTTTTCAAGGCGGGGACGTTAAACACATTATTCTAGTAAAGCCTTAAGTTGGTTAAGTATTCGGGACCTTGTAACACCTTGAGAGTAGTATTTTTTTCAAGGCAGGGACGTTAAACACAATATTCTAGTAAAGCCTTAAGTTGGTTAAGTATTCGGGACCTTGTAACGCCTTGAGAGTAGTATTTTTTTCAAGGCGGGGACGTTAAACACATTATTCTAGTAAAGCCTTAAGTTGGTTAAGTATTCGGGACCTTGTAACACCTTGAGAGTAGTATTTTTTTCAAGGCAGGGACGTTAAACACAATATTCTAGTAAAGCCTCAAGTTGGTTAAGTATTCGAGACCTTGTAACGCCTTGAGAGTAGTATTTTTTTTCAAGGCGGGGACATTAAACACAGTATTCTAGTAAAGCCTCAAGTTGGTTAAGTATTCGGGACCTTGTAACGCCTTGAGAGTAGTATTTTTTTTCAAGGCGGGGACGTTAAACACAATATTCTAGTAAAGCCTCAAGTTGGTTAAGTATTCGGGACCTTGTAACGCCTTGAGAGTAGTATTTTTTCAAGGCGGGGACGTTAAACACAGTATTCTAGTAAAACCTCAAGTTGGTGATCTTCCAGGCAGAGACGTTAAACACATCCCTTCACACCTTATGCTTAAGTATTCAGGACCTTGTAACGCCTTGAGAGTAGTATTTTTTTTCAAGACGGGGACGTTAAACACAATATTCTGGTAAAGCCTCAAGTTAGTATCTTCAAGGCGGAGACGTTAAACACATCCCTTCACACCTCAAGATCAAACTCTTGTGTTGTGATAAAGCTATCCATTATTTAGCCTTCGCAAAATACAAATATTGTTTATGTTTGTCTCTGAAAAGAAAGACAAAAAAAAGAGAGTATAAAATAAATAAATAAATTACCTTAGCACAAGAATCTCTCTGTTGAGAAGATGGATCTCACGATCTCTGAATGTGTTCAGAGAATATGGAGATGTGAGGGCTATTTATAAATTTCAAAAATAGGGGTTTAACTCCTAGTGGAATAAGAATTGAGACTCCAATTAGTATCCAATACAAATTTGAATCCTAATAGAATTCAAAAATATTATTTGTATAGGAACTGTGGGAGAATATATATTCCACACTAAGTATGACTCTAATTTTTTTTTTAGATGTTATTAATGACGGTGGAAGAATCCTTATTTTATATCAATTACAACTCTTCTCTTTTCTGCTAAAATTCCTAAGGAAGAATGTTATTATGGCTGTAAACAGGGGCGGACCCACGTAGTCAATTTTTGGTGCTCGAGCACCCATTGACTCCGGAAAAAAAATGTATATATATATATATAGAAAATATGATAAATACGTTATTAAAGAAAAATAAGCACCCATAGAACAATAGCAGTCGTGGGTGCGCTGGTTAACAACTGAAAAATAACGCGCGCGAAGCATGTGGGCGAGGGTTCGAATCCCGTCAGCCCCATTCTTTTTTTTTTTACTTTTTCCAGCGAATTTTGCACCTTTTTTTTTACTTTTCCTTTTTTTAATTAAGGGCTTATTTTACTCCGAATTTTGTACTTGTTTTGACTTTTCCTATTCTTAATTAGTTTAGGGTGACTAACTTTTTCTTTCTTTTTTATTTTTAACTTCTTTTTTTTTTTGGTCTAAATTCGGAGCTCAAAGCTCCTTTTTATTTAAATAATTCTGTACAAAAATTGGACCAAACAAGCCCAAATAAAAAGGAAACAAAGAAAAGGACAGAACAAGAACGTCTGGACTCTGGGCCCTTTCCATTTTTTCTATGCTTTAAAACATTTTCCACTATCCACTTTTATGAGATTTTTTTCTTTTAACAAAACAAGGAAATCACTCTTCTTCTTCTTCTTGTTTCAAAGAAAGAGCAGCCAGCCCAACAACAAACTTCAAGCTTTTTTCTTTTCAAAATCAAAATACAAAAGCAAGGTAATAAGATTTGAATTTTGATGTTTGATTAAAGTTAGATAATGAAAAAAAAAAGGGTTAGGGAAATTAGGTTTTGAGATTTGCATTGCTTATGGCTAGTACTCTTTAAGTCTTAATTCTTAAAATAGATTCCACATACTTTTTTTGTAACTTGATAAATAGATTTAGACTTTAGAGTCTCACATATTTAGTGTTTTGTGATTAAAAATATATTTTTTGAATACTTTTGAAATAAATTTTTTTCTTACCAACTTACTTGATTCAAAAATTAAATTTTAGGATGTATACAAATAACAAATTGTGCAATTGAAAATTTTGTGCTCATTGACTCAGATATTGCTAATTATTGCTTGTGGTGTTGAAAGATCAAATAGATATATTAATTGATGTTTGGGTTGTTGATAGAAAGTTATAGATTTCAATAAAAATTAATTGAATTATGTGAATTAATTCTATGATAAAATTGATTTTTTTTGCAGAAATTTATCTTTGTAAATTGAGATGGATAAGTATGTCACAAGATCGAAAATTGGGCATCCAAGTTCTAGCTCTACTCATCCATCTACCACTTCAACCATAGCTCCGAAAATTCAAAGGAAAACATTTATTTCAGATGTTGATTTAGAATCTCTTGAAGCTGATCCGGGAATTAGAAAGCCCATTGCAGAATATAATCCTAATATACGTGATGATATTAGGAGATATTATATTCTTAAAAAGCCTTGCCAACCTAAGGATCATAACTTTCCTAAAACTAAGTTTGGAAAGGAAATGCGACAATTTTTTTCTGATTGGTTTAATGGTCGTAAGTGGTTGGAGTATAGCATAACAAAAGATGCTGCATTTTGTTTGTGTTGCTACTTGTTTAAAAATGAATGTGAAAGTTGTGAATATGTGGTTGATGCTGCTTTCACAAAGACTGGCTATAGGGCTTGGAATAAAGCTACTGAAAGATTTAGAGCTCATGTTGGAGATATAAATAGCATCCACAACAAGTGTTTCAACAAGATGCTTGATTTGATGAATCAATCACAGTCAATACGCACTTCCTTTGATAAAAAGTCCAAGAAAGAAAAAAGTGAGTCTCGGCGTCGCTTGAGTTCTTCAGTTGATGTGAAAAGATTTCTCTTGAAATTAGGATTATCATTCCGTGGACATGATGAGAGTCGATCTTCTTCAAATAGAGGTATTTTTCTTGAACTTTCGCAATGGTATGGAGATATTAATGAAGATGTTGGAAGCATTATTTTAGAAAAAGCTCCAAAAAATGAAATGATGTGTTCTCCAAGTATTCAAAAGGATATTGTTAATTCTTGTGCTAAGGAAACAATCAAATCTATTCTTGAAGATTTAGATGGGGATTATTTTGGGATACTAGTCGATGAATCAAAGGATGTATCACACAAGGAGCAAATGACACTTGTTTTGAGATATGTTAACAAAGAAGGAGAAGTGATAGAGCGATTTGTTGGTATTATTCATGTTAGTGATACATCTGCTTGTTCATTAAAGGAAGCAATATATTCTTTTCTTTCAGATCACTCATTAAGTCCATCCCAAATACGTGGGCAAGGTTATGATGGAGCTAGCAATATGCAAGGACATCTAAATAGTCTTAAAACTTTGATTTTGAATGAGACTCCATCGGCATATTGCATTCACTGTTTTGCCCACCAATTGCAGTTAACACTAGTGGCTCTTGCAAAGAAGGATTCAAATGTAGATGACTTGTTTTGCTTAGTTACTAATGTGTTAAATATTGTTGGAGCATCTTTTAAGCGCAGGGATTTACTTCGGAAACACCAAGCTGAACAGTTAGAGGAGTTGCTTATATCAGGGGAAGTGCATACTGGGCGAGGATTAAATCAAGAAAGTGGGCTTCAGCGGCCAGGTGATACTCGTTGGGGTTCTCATTATAGAACATTAGATAATCTTATTGTTCTATTTCCATCAGTTATTCATGTGCTTGAATTTACTGGATGCGAGTGTCCAAACTATACTGATAGACTTCTTGCTAAAACTCTTGTGGATGCGATTAAGAAATATGATTTTGCCTTTATGCTGCACTTGATGTGGAAAGTTCTTATGATGACAAATGAATTGAACTCCTCATTACAAAGGATGAATCAAAATATTGTCAATGCTATGGGATTTCTTGCTCTTACAAAGCAAAGATTACAAAATATGAGGGATAATGAATTCGAATCATTAATGGATGATGTCTCTTCTTTTTGTGATAAACATGATATAGTCATTCCGGAGATGGATGCTAGCTACTTTCCTGGGAAGTCAAAGCGTAAAGCTCTTGATGTTACATATTCTCATCATTTACGTGTTGAAATATTTTATGTTGTTATTGATTTGCATCTTCAAGAGCTTAATAATCGTTTTGATGTTGTGAGTACTGACTTACTTCTCGGTATGGCTAGTTTGAATCCAGTTAATTCATTTGGTAGTTTTGATAAGGGCAAGATAATGAGGTTGGCTGAATATTATATGAATAAGTTTGACATCAACAAGCTTCGGGATCTCAATTTTCAGCTTGATAGCTTTATAGTTTATGTTCGTGGTTCTGACAAAAGGTTCTTCAACTTGAAGGGAATTAGTGATCTTGCTAAAGTATTGGTCAAGTCAGATTTGCATCAAATTTGGCCACTTGTTTATTTGCTTATCAAGTTGACTCTCATTCTTCCCATTGCTACTGCTTCTGTGGAACGAGCTTTCTCATCAATGAAGTACATTAAAAATGAACTTCGTAATATTATTGGTGATGAATTTTTGAATGGTTGTTTAGTTTGCTATGTAGAGCGTAAGATATTCGCAAATGTAAGCAATGATGCTATTATTTATCGTTTTCAACATATGAAAAGTCGTCGAGCACAATTATGACTTTAAGACTAGAAGTCTCTTTTTGTAATGATAATATTACTAGTAGGTCATTGTGACTTATAACTAGTGGTTGTTTTTTATGATGATAATATTAATCGTTGTTTTATTTTTTTTACTTTTTTTTATTAAAGAGTTTGAGTTAGTATACGCTTACACTATGTGATTGCTAACATGTTTATGTTAAAGGAAGTGAGCACCCATAACCTTTAAATCCTGGATCCGCCACTGGTTGTAAAAGATTTTTTTTTTTAAAAAAAGAAACGGATAGAACCCTTTTCCGTGTCACAATTGAATTGTTAATTGGTAAAACAGGCATCCAATTGCCCATATTGGCTAAGGATGGTTAGAAGTTGGCAGAATATGACATTGGAATGCCATTTTTCCACTCCAATCACGTTGGAGTATATACACTAAAAATAATGGTGTATAATTATCGTGTAATTAATACTTCAAGCCTAGTTTTCAAAAGATAAAATATTTGACAAGACTTGAAGCAGGGGGCATTTGTAATCATTTAAAATTTATTAAATATAAGTTTATAAAATGATTTGAATTATATTAAATTCATAAATGTATTAGTCCAAATAAATGTCATGGATTAATATAATTTGGCTAATTATTTAAGTCCAATAAATATGAATTTAATTGATTTGGGCTAAAATAGATGAGCCCAATTTGTTAAACCCAAATTCATCTTATCCTAGAGGCCCATTTTGATGTCACGTGGGTAAATGACGTGGCATGCCAAGTCAAGCAAGAAGCCAATAGGATCATGACATGTGTCAAAGATGACAAGCCCGCTCCATAAAGCCCATATGTCATGTCACTTAAATTTGATTGGTCGAAGGGAATCATGTTCCAATCGCAACTCCTATATTCTAAAACTATAAATATGGGTCCTCATAATTCAGAAAAGGGACAGAAAATTCTCAAACAAGAAGCTAGAGAAAATTCATGGTATAAACGCCATAAAATTCTATATAAAGCTACAAGTTTAAGAATTCAAGCATTCAAGTTCAAGAACGATCAAGATCAAGACCATCAGATTCAAGAACAAGCTCGAAGCCCTTGAATTCAAGCAAAAGTCAAGATCAAGATAAAGTTCAAAGTTCAAATTCATCGAAGATTCAAGATCAAGCTTTAAAGCCCTTGAATTTATATTTGAAAAGGCGAATTCAGAGGAATCATAGAGATCGTAACACTCGTACTTTGAAATAATAAATACGATTGTTGCTATAATTTTCCGTTCTTGATTATTGTTTTCTCGACGCGAATTTTATTGTCTACACTACCTTTTGAATTTCTTGAGCAATACTCCATCTAATTTATATTAAGTGAAGTCTTTAGATTTTTTTTCATAGTTCAAAATGAGTAAATTATTCTAAATTTAAGAAGACTGTTGAGATTTTTTTCTTATATTTATCCTCTATTTAATGAGGTTCTTAACTACAATACACTTTTACAAGAATAATTTGAAACTAATCGAAAAGATAATAGTGAAAAGTAACCTTTAATTTTTTTTCCTTGCATTTTTTTTCTTAAGAGACGTAACATAGCCCAATAATTCACTTACTCTATGGACTAGAGAGAGTGCTACTTGATATATTGAGAAAATTGAATAAATGACATATTTAAGACTTGATACTATCAGTCCTAACATGATTCTTAAATTTTCAAGTTGTAACATTAGAATCTTAATAATCCCTAACAAATTTCATATCTTAAAAAAAAGAGAAAATAAGAATTTAATTAATAATGTATGTAATAATCATTTATATTTGTCATAAATTAAACTCTAACTAACAGGATATTGCATTCCTTAATTCTCTCCTAATCAGTTTCTTTTTCTTATTGTTACCCAAATTATCAAAAATTTAAATTTTCAATCATTTTCTTTGTTGTTCATCGGGAGAGGATATGTACATAACTCATCAGGTGCCTTATCGCGGTCTAAGTGTCAGATTTAAATTGTGACATTGTTTCTCTTTTGAAGGTATATATTGAGGAACCACTTTTAATTTATTTTGTGATAACTAGTATATATATGTCACTTCTTCTTTTCTTTAGATGAGAATTGACCTACGAGTTAGTTCTATTTAGTTGTATATTGTCATGATCCAAAAATGAGTGTGATAAGACTCGTCTTATCCCACCAAGCCTAAAATCAAAACATAGCGATAGAAATGCAGAAAGTAAACTATTAATACTATAAATGCAGATAACTTAGTCAAAGTCATAAAACCCCTAAAATTTGATTGTCACGTGTACAAGCCACAATGTATTACAACTGAATTGAAAGAAGTACAAGTTTCAATGTCTTTGTTTCTAGGATAGAACAAGAACGTACATAAATAAGGAACAAGATGGTTTACCGAGGTGACAAACAACTACCTCTCAAGTCTCCACAGAAAAGCCTTAGATATAAGATAGAAGAAGAGCAATCACACGAATTCGGGCTCGGAACCTACACAAGTGTAGAAGTAAGGAGTAAGTACCAACAACACGGTTCTCAGCAAGTAACCCACTAAATAAGGTAAAAATAGCTAGAAAACAAGAACTTATTTCATCTCAACCGAACCGTCACAATTACAACCTACATAGAAATCAACCCAATCTAACAATTCATATTTTCAAGTAGCACACACTTCAACAACAATACCTTACGGTTATTGATCAACAACAATTAAGTATCCAATTCAACAATCAAAGTTTACCAACAATTTTCACTCCACATAGTGTTTCAACAATAACACATCAATATCATGATATTGCTTTTTTCATTAACCCCATCGTTATCATTAAGGTTAATCAATTTGAGCGATTAACCCATCACCTTACTCCCCAACACATACAACAAAGAGAGTTCAAGATTTCACAAGCTTTAACAAGGTTTAGAAGTTCACTTGCCTTGAGAAAATCACACAATCACTCTGGAACTTGAGCTTTCCCCCTTTCTTTGAGTCTCCAAATCAATGTAATCTAATCAAATAAGTAACCACAATAAGATTTCAAAACTAATAACATCTATATCAATGATTTTGAGAATCAAGACAAATTGACCCAAAAACCCATTTCCAAAAATGAGAGATAATTCTAGAAATTTGTATAAAATCACATTAAGCAAAGGTTTTGAAATTCAATGGTGAAAATCTCATTGAAAAATGAGTTAAAATCATGCTCAAAACTTGAATTTACTTAAAACACAAATTCATCAGAAAACCTTCCAATAGTCGGGTCTGAAACCCCGACTCGAATCTAAAATATTTCTTGAAAATATCTTACCCATGCTTAGGGAAGTTAAGATATGAAATTTCATTAAAAAAAAAAAGTGGAGTTAAAATCGACCTTGAAATCCTTAATTTATCAAATTTTAATTTTACCGAGGAAAAACTCAAATTCTTAAGCTTATTCGCGGTTACTATGACGAAAATAATTGATGAATCACCAAGTTTATGCAAAAATCAGTTTACTCAAAACATAAGGATCCTAAATATACATTTTTCATTAAAACTGAGTCCAAATCGATAAAACCTTAATTTCTCCAAAGAAGTACACAAATAAGGAAAGAAGACCAAATGAAGAAATCATGAGAAAAATGTCAAAATGAGGATTGGACACTAACCCCTATATTAAATCGAAAAGAGTGCCGCAAGAATCACTCCATTTCGAGCTCTAGAACTCCCAATATGCTCAAATTACCAAATGAACACAGTTTGAAATTAAATACATGTACAATGGTATTTTTACGAGCGCACCAGCAACTTAAAATTTAACTAAAAGGGTTGTAACTTCCTCACACGATAGAGAAATGATCCAATTCTTTTTTCTAAACGTCTTAAATAATTATACGGATCTGCTCGTTTAATCGAAATTCAGTTTAGTGCTTGTTTTTCCAGTCAAATATCATTTTTATCGGTAAACATTTATTTCATGTATCACGATAAAAGTCCAATCTCAGCTTAGTGAAAATGCACCAAACTTTGCAGATTAGCCTTATAATTCATGCTCAAAATTTTGGAAGTTTCAGAATAATTTTTCGATCTTTGTAACTAATAACTAATGTTTTAGTTGACACAAATTGCTGAAACAACATCACGACACCCAAAAAGCTTAGGAACTTACCCAAAACTCATCCAGAACTTTCCGAACACAAACCAAATATGCTTCTAGCTTGGAAATAATATTTCGGACTCAATAAAATCATCAAAACACCCAAACAAGGTCACTTGTTGAACAAAATCAACTTTAACTTAAGAATCTCCAAACTTTCAAATAAGGACACGAGACTCACCCAAAAGCTTCGGGAACTGAACCAAGCCTTCAACTAGATGATAAATTTAGCATGGGTTCTTTAGAAGGTTCTCTTGTGAACTTTTTTATATGTATAAATTTTAGGATAAATTACCTATATACCCACCTTTATTTTCTATAATTTTCATTATTCCCTACCATTTCAAAATATTTTCAAAATCCCTTATTTTTTCTCAAATCTCTAGTCAGCCGTATACATAAGTATCCCATCATTAACCAACGTTTCCTTCTTTTTTTTTTCACTCCTTTAGTCTCTCCCTAGTTTCACTCCACAATCTTATCAGTTACAGTTTTCATCTCAATTTGAATTTCAAAAGGATTCTCTCTCCGGTCAATCAAATTCAAACCACTGAATAGGTACTTTTCGTATTCTCCATTGTCAGTTTTTCAATTTTTTGTTTTTACCCTTTTTTTCCTGATACATATGGATTATGCTCATTCATTTAGTATTGGTATTACCCAACTAAACTCTGGAAATAGATCCAAAAAAGGCACGATCCATTATTAACGAAAAATTTGAGTATGGAAAAGTCAAAGTCGAAGACAAATGCACCTTCGATTTCTAAATTTACTGTGGACCCCCCCCCCCCCCCCACCAAAGGGATAAAAAATGTTACATTTGTATTATCTCGTCCAACTCTACATTAAGGTACATATTTTTAATGTATATACTTTATTTTGATATTTAATCTAGCCTTTTGATAGTAGTTTCAATGTTCGGATACATTACATTTACAGTAGTCTCTATTTTATGTAATGTATCTTTGCTGAAAAGATTCCAAAAAAAGGGACGAAAAGTCGAATCTGACAATACACACCATTCATGCACTACTAAAAGTTCAAATTTACTATGTAACCAGTTCTGAATACACACCATTCAATATAAGTTCTATTTCTTTTACAGATGGAATACTTTTTTTTGCACAGTTTTTAACATGATAATCATTTTAACATTGGACTTAAAATACTTTCGGGAGATTTTTAATAGGTATAAAAGTTAAAATTGAATTGGACTTGATCGTTTTCGGACCAACATTTAAAATTGTCTTTTGAGATGTAATGCGAAAATGAAAATTTGATAACAAATAAATTTTGGACACAATTTATTGAAGTTTGAAAATTCCTTACAAATGATGTTGGAGTTTAGAATTTTTAGAAGTGAAATTTCAGCATACCGTGTCATAGTTTTCATAGTTTTTGATAAATATTACAGATTGCTCATTCACATTTTTTATATTGTCAGATGCATGTATGAGTTAGAGCCTGTTTGACATTGTTGTTGGAAAATTAGAAGTGTTTTTTTTATATAAAAAAATGAGTACTTATTTTGAGAAATAAGTATTTGGTAAAATCTTAAAACTGCTTTAAATGGAAGCAGAAGCAGTTTTTCTGCTGTTGAGAAGAAACTAAAAATTTCTGACTTAAAAAAAAAGCAGAAGCAGAATTAGAAAATTAATTTTTTAAGACTAAATATCCCTTACATATGTACATATCCTTATTAATTAATTAAGGGAAAATGCATAAGTACCCCCCAACCTATGTCCAAAATCCCAGAGACACACTTATACTATACTAAGGTCCTATTACCCCCGAACTTATTTTATAAAAATTTTCTACCCCATTTCGGCCTACGTGACACTATCAATCAGATAGCTTGAAAAAACTGTCAACACGCGCTGGGCCCAGAAGATAGTGCCACGTAAGCCGAAAAGGGGTAGAAAATTATTTATAAAATAAGTTGGGGGTAATAGGACCTTAATATGGTATAAGTGTGTCTCTGAGATTTCGGGCATATGTTGGGGAGTACTTATGCATTTTCCCATTAATTAACATATCTCATAAGTTTGGTTGATTTTTATTCAAGAATTTTATTTTTTATTTTTATATAATAATTTTTTTATTTTATTTATGTTTTATATTATTATTACATATTATATTGTATATATTACTTTACATATTATTTTACAGAATTAGAAATAAAAGTAACAACGATATTTGTGTAGAGTTAAAAGAAAAGAGAGAAAAAAGTAACAATGAAAGATTTAGACCCTCCCCAAAAAAAGTAACAAATAACAAAAAAAAAAAAATTCTTAATTTACGTATTATTTTATTTTAATTTGAATTTTTTTTAAAGTTTAGAGTATTATAACAAAAAAAGAAGAAGATAATAGCTAAGATCGAATTCAAAAAAATAGGTAATAAATAACAAAAAAGATTCATCTTTTCAATATTTTTCAACAATATTGATCGAAAATTTGAATATGTACATTTTAAATAATTAAATTAAAAATGTAATTAAAGTTTATGTATAAGATATTTAAAATAGTTTCTCTCTATAAAATAATCTTAATATTAAAAAAAAAGAATTTTTCGAATGAATTTGCCAAACACAAAGTGTTTCTTTTTAAAAACACTTTTCTGAAAAATTATTTTTTAAAAAAAAATACTTTTAAAAAAAGTAATTTTTAGCAGCAATGCCAAATAAATTCTTAGCCTTAAATTCACTCACATGTTCATGTGAATTTTCGATCGAATTCTATTTACCAATCTAACTTTCTCTCTTTGTAATCCATTATAAATATTGGATCCATCGCATTGTATCAATCCTTATTTTTACCGTATTTTAGTATACTGTAAAATATTTTTATCAAATTTTAATGTGTCCAATAATCTTTTATTTTTTATTAAACATGCATAACTTAAAAAAGTATTATTATATGACGTGTAAATTATGATAAATTTAAGTTAGAGAGGCAAATAATATGATAAACGTGTGCATGATTTTATTTAATTTTAAACTAATTTATGAATTATATTTACATATGATCATAAAAGATGTGACAATGGACCCGATCCTATGTATTATCCGGAACAAATGTTGTGTTATGCCTCACAATTACACCTTGTTTGGACGGTTGTTACCCATTATATTATATTTGTATTATTAGTTTAAATATAATATTTGTTTTGATTGTTACTTAAATTATATTGTATAATATTGTTTAAATTCATTATTAGGTAACAATGAAAAGATCTATTTTATGTAATGATCGATTTGGTGTGATCACGTCGTTATCTTAATATTTTCTTCTCATTTTGTCTTAATTATTTAATCATTCTATTTATCATTACCTTACCTTTTTCATAATAACTTTATCCCATACACTGTTTTTCTTGTATGTTTATGATTCAAATTTTGCATAAGTAACATTATGTAATGATGGAGAACGATACAATCTATCTAAATGTTGTATTTATTAAAACAATACAGTAAAATACAATACAATGCGATACATTATATAAGTTACAACCATTCAAACAAAGTGTTAAGGGGTCGTTTGGTGTGAGGGATAATACCAAATAGTCCCGGGATTAAATTATAGTACCGTTTATTTTGTTGTTTGGTTGGCAAGTTCGGGATAACTTATCCCGGGATTAATAATTAGTACCGGGATAAGTTATCCCTCTCCTTGGGTGGTATAGTAATCCCGGAATAACTTATCCCGGGATAAAATAGGTAAATGACAAAAATGTCTCTTTCAACCCTTTTGTTATATCACTTTTTACATTAATGAAGGGCATTTTTGTAAACAAATAAATTGTTCTTAAAATTTATTATTTTGAATACAACAAACCAAACACTCAATAAAAAATAATCCCAACACAACTTATCCCATCATAACTAATCCCAACATAACTTATCCCAACATAACTTATCCCATCATAACTCATTTTCAAACCAAACGACCCCTAAGAGTCTTGTACAACGGTTAGGTAGGTGATTAGAATTGTAATTTATTTGACAGAAATTAGAGTTATAATTGAACAAGAATACAAATTAAATAGGAGTAGTACATTATTATCGAAAAAAAGAAGAAAGCGAAATCCAAAACTAATCCTACTGGAAATGTGGCTAAAATGTAGTACAAGTGCAACTGGTATGCGTTATCGACACATGTTGTTCACGTGCTTCGAGTTGCCATCGTGCAGGCAGGCTTCGGTCTCACCGTCGACAACTTAGATCTCCCTTGCCGTAACAACTCTTCCTTCTTCCCGGCGAACTTCACTCTCTTCTCAATCTCCTTCTCACCTCTCTGAGTTTCCATTACTGACATATAGCAGTAAAGATGATGGGATATGAGAATCAAGAGTCCCACCTTTATGCATCCAAAGAGGAGATGGAATCTCTGGTACTCGACGACGATTCTCCCAACGGCACTGCTCATCCTTTCTCAGATCCACTTTCATCATCCTCATCTCTTCCTTTCGCTGAAATCCCTACTGACCAAAGTCAAACCCCTAATTCTTCATTTAATTCCATCCTCGAACCTCCTTCTTACGCTGAGGCTATTTTCAGATCCTTTGACGCTGATCACTCCTCTCCTCAACTCAACGGCGCTCATGATCACTCTATTGCTTCTCCTTCCTCACCTCCATCCTCCGACGACTTTTTGACCATTACCGTTTCCGATCCACAGAAAGAGCAAGAGTTGTCCAATTCTCTCGTTCCTGGGGGGACTGCTTATGTTACCTACCTAATTACTACCAGGACAAATTTACCGGAATTTGATGGAACTGAATTTAGTGTGAGGAGGAGGTTTAGAGATGTGGTGACTTTGTCCGACCGATTAGCTGAGTCGTATAGAGGTTTTTTCATTCCGTTAAGGCCGGATAAGAGTGTTGTTGAGAGTCAGGTGATGCAGAAACAGGAATTCCTGGAACAGAGGAGAGCAGCACTGGAGAAGTACCTGAGGAGATTAGCTGCGCATCCTGTGATAAGGAGGAGTGAGGAGCTAAGAATGTTTTTGGAGGCGAATGGGAAGCTGCCGCTGGTGAGGACAACAGATGTGGCATCCAGGATGTTGGATGGGGCAGTGCAGTTACCCAAGCAGATCTTTGGTGAGACAGCAGGGGGAATGGTGGATGCCAATGAGGTGGCTCAGCCTGCCAAGGGAGGTAGGGACCTGTTGAGAATCTTTAGGGAGTTGAAACAATCTGTGTCTAATGATTGGGGTGGTGTGAAGCCACCTGTAGTAGAGGAGGATAAGGAATTAGTGGAAAAGAAGCAGAAGTTGCATGATTTTGAGCAGCAGCTCAGCAATGTGTCTCAGCAGGTTAATATCTTTCGGAAAACATTTTCTTTTTCTGTTTGTTCTTGTTCTTCTTTAGAATGTGGACCGGTAAATAGTTGGCATGTTCACATCTAATTGATTATTATAGCAGTATCATAAAGTTGGTCTTTTATGCTTGTTCAGTATGCACATTATTACTGGTCCTCTAAACGAATTTCAGTTTTAATAAATGCAAGTTCACTTGGTGGCTTTAGTTACTTTAGTACACATAATCTTGAGACTCATCATGAAAGTACTGTCTGTGCTCTATGCAGTAAATTTCTTAGACTGAGCATGAATATCTTCATTTGAGCTATTCAGTAGTCTTATGCTGAGAAAGGTATTTGTCCATTACTGGCACTGAGCAGTTATTCCTATTTTTCTTCAGGCCGAAGCACTTGTAAAAGCTCAGCAGGATATTGGAGAAACCATGGGCCAAATGGGCCTAGCTTTTGTCAAGTTAACAAAGTTTGAGACAGAGCGAGCAGTTTATGATTCACAAAGAACAAGGGCTGCCGATATGAAGAATGTGGCAACTGCTTCTGTTAAGGCAAGCAGACTATATAGGGAGCTAAATGCACAAACTGTCAAACATTTGGTAAGTTCTTAGTAGCATGAAAGCTGACTCATAAAGATGCACCCAATATACTTGATTAGACAAATTTGTTACCTGACATTCATCAGACAATATCCTGTTTGGAGACATCCTAGCTAATTATGCTTTACTAATTTTGAAAAGTTTTTGATACAGTAGTCTTTACATTTGCTTATTTTCTATTCAAGTGTCGGTATGTTGCAGGATAAGCTCCATGAATACCTTGGAGTGATGTTAGCTGTGAACAATGCATTTTCCGATAGGTCAAGTGCTCTTTTGACAGTACAGACATTGTTGTCTGAGCTGTCATCACTAAATTCGAGGATCGAAAAACTTGAAGCTGCTGCATCTAAGATATTTGGTGGGGACAGGTCCAGAATTCGCAAAATAGAAGAGCTCAAGGAAACGCATAGAGTTACTGAAGATGCCAAAAGTTCTGCTGTGAAGGAGTATGAGCGGATCAAGGTAACATCACATGTTAATAGTTAGTTTTGCAACTAAGTAAGCTTTCTGATTTTTGTATCTTCATTTGCTTTACTACTTAGTGAGCAATCCATATCATCAACATCATTGTCTCGTTTCTTCAAACAATAAATCCTCTTTACTGTGTTCAAAGTCATTGAGAATCTTTCTGTTAATCTTGAATATGACGTGTAGTCTTTTGGCTAAATTCTTCTGGGTGCTGGTCACTGACAACAATTGGACGAATTTACTTAGTTCCAAGTTCAGGCTTAATTAACAACAATTGGTCTAGTTATACTCAGTTCCAAGTTCAAGTTTAGTTAATAACAATTGGACTATTTACATGTATGCCCAATTATTGATATGTTGACAAGGACGAGCATTAGCTTGCATCCAAGGGTGTGCCCCAATGGTCAATGAAATAGGTTGAGAGCCATGAAGTCTTAGATTCAAATCCCAATGAAGGCAAATAAGCACTAGGTGGTTTCTTCCCATCTGTCTAAGTCTTGCTAGGCAAAGTTGCCCGATACCTGTGCTAGGGGAGGTAACAAGTATTTTATGGAATTAGTTGAGGTGTGCTCAAGCTAACTCGGATACATAGACTGCAATGGGAAGTCAATGTAAATGCTTCATCTGGTTGATTTGCACTGGCCTCCTATCTGCAGATTTTTGGCTTCCATTTTTTCAGACAAGACTGGGACAAAAATAGACCATAGCTATTTAGTTCATGATATTCTTGTCCACATCATCTCTAACTTATTACTCTGAGCACCACAAGAGGACCTAAATTTGGCAACCTAGAATTTCATATCAGTGGATCTTGTTCATGCTTGATTCTATTATAGACTATTAAAGCTCTATTCCTTTACCCATATTGGATTAGTGAAACATAATGTGAGGTTTCTTATGGCTCTGGTAGGACAGGACAATAGCTTTACGAGTGCTTAAGATTAGGATTGGACATCACAGACCTACTTCCTCAGAAGGTTTATCTGGCAGATTCGTTTAAAGCTTATGAACCTTAGTGTTGGAACAATATTTCTGGTTTATTAATCAGGTGCTGCCAACTATGTACAGTGTAGGTGATGTAGGTAACCCGAGGCAATAGAGTTACTATTCAACATGTCCCCTGTTAAGAAAACGGCTTTTGAGCTAACTTAACCCATCCCCTCAATCAATGAGGGACAATTAACACCCTTAGGCACTCTTACAACTGGACATCTGATGCGTGAATAATATGACGAGGGCCTAACATTGGGTAAATCAAGAATAAAGATGGTTCTGGCTTTGATACCATGTTAAGAAAGTTGACCTTAGGCCTAAGCTAGCTCATGAGATGAGTATTGTCCAAAAGAGACAACAACCTATTTCCTCAACCAAGGTGGGACACTTAATATCAGCAATCATGCTACAATAAAAGAAATATTTTATATTCAATGTTACTAGGTAGTTGATAGTCATATTTGAATGAGGCTTCTTAGAGTCTTTTTTTTTTCAAAAGAGAAGCTTGTTATGATTTTGTATTTGTTCAACCTTTTACTGTCACTGATGTTTAGTCCTTGGTGTCCATTTGTTTCAAGAAGTAATAGGCTTGCTAATCAGTGCTCTTAAATGATTTTCCGTTAGTTTTCTTTTTACAAATTTAGGTGCTGAAGTTATTTTATGTAAGACCCCTCCAACCAGGCTCCCGCTCCAATCAAGAGAGTGACGATGCATGTATTACCAGTTCATCTTGTTTAATTTTGCATAATGGTAATTTTAGGAAGGCGATACTTCTGTATTATTTTTAAATTGGGCTCTGATCTGGGAAAGTATATAACTGCTGTATAGAGGATATTTAATTTATCTTCTCTTCCATTTTCTTTAATACTACATCATTTTCAATGAGATTGACATTATAGCTGTTTGATGGTGAATCTTGTAGGAAAACAACAAGAATGAGCTTGAGAGATTTGAGAAGGAACGACATGATGACTTCTTGGGAATGTTGAGAGGATTTATTGTCAATCAGGTATCTTTGTTTCTAGACCAAGAAAAAATGTATCTTGTCTTCTAGTGTTGTTGCATCAAATGCCTTCTCGGAAATCATTGATTTAGCATTGTTCTGAGGAACATGCTTTATCTTTCCCCTTGTATTAGTAATGCTCGTAAAAGGCAATTGATTTTTTTCAATATGCCCAACTAAAATTATAGACCATTTTAAACTCCAGATGTTAAGCACACTTAATCTAGTTATAGCTATTTTTAACCATCTAGTATAGTCAGGGTAATGTCCGTTCTCCACCAACTTTCCAAAGATTGCAAGTGTTTTAGCAAGTGCAAGAAAAGTAAATATGCACGATATCAGTTTGTCCTTTGTGTTCCCTTAGAGAAATTTTAGAGTGGAAGACGTAAGATTTCATCTGAAAATCTAATGCCAGAGAAGAAAAAAGAACAGAAAAGGATGAGGGGGGCAACTTTTCCGCTATAGAGATGAGTGATTGGAAAATAAGTACCCTGTGTAGGATATCAGTATATGCCACATACCAGCTATGTTTTTTCCTGTCACAAAGCTGGTTTTGGGTCTTTACTATTGGTTTTCTAGTCTTCTTAGACTTGCTCTTATTCTTTTAGGCTTTTCATGAACAGCTACATCTCTTGGAGACAGGGAGGATCCTTGTTTCAATTACTTTAGCAAGGACTACGACATAATAATTGCATCCTCCCTAACCTCTTCTGCAGCATGCATACTCAGGGAGGGCCGTTTTCCTTCTTCCCACTCCATCCTATTTCATTACTATATCCAAATTGAGTTTGTTAATTTTCTAGCTGAATACAGAAAAGTTGTGTTGAATGGGTAAATGACGAGGGGAAGCTGAGAAAGAGCTGATAAAGGAGATTGCTATGTATATAGAGGGGTTTGGGAACATGTTGTAATCTTCAGTCATTTCTTTATTGCCTTGTGGAATGAAATTGTTTGGGTGCCTCGTCTCTTTTCCTCTCATATCGTGTCTCAACGGGGAAGTCAGTACATGGTTTGAGACAAGGTCCATTGATAGAATGTCGTTCCCATATCTCAGTGAAAAGAGTGAACATTGATGAGGAATATTACGTTGCTTTAACTGCTTTTAACTCGAGGTTTAGTGATGCATAACTGATGGACAATAGGTGATGTGTTTTGTGCTACGCCTAGGATTGAGTGTCACATCACAGTTTTAAGAGTTTTCTGTGGGTTTGCTCTGTACTCTTGTCCCAAGAAGAGTAAAGGCTAAAGTACTTACGAACTGAGTTGTTACAAATTAAGAACTGTTAAGACTGATAATTGCTTGAAATGGTGCTGGTCATTTAGGTTAGTTGGCTGGAAGTGGAAGATTGATAACCAATCAAGTGTTAATGTGGGATCTTGGGTCTGTTTCTGTGGTTTCAGAAGCTATGAGCACAGGAACTAGAGACCTGGAATATTGTGATAATATCAGGAATTTTGTACTTGGAATCATGTGAAATGTTGATGCAATGCTGTTCTGCATTGCTTTGTTTCCTTCAGGTCAAATGATCATCTTTAAGGAAGTCAACAGTATACTTTCACACCGCTCCATGGGGTGGGGTTCAATGCCTGACAAAAAAGGCCAAAGCAAAAAAGAATCTTTATTCTTCTGGGCTTGTTTTGCCATTTCTAATTACTCTCTTCTCGATATGATAGTAGCTATCATTTAGTTTTTAGGGTGCATCATTGTGAGTGAATATCCACTATATGATTTGGAATACAAGCATGTGAATAACTTGGAAACATCCTATGCATGTAGCAACTGTGTTCATTTTAGAATTTCGGGACTCTACTGCCAATCGATGGAGTTGCTTCTGATGTTTATTCTAGTTTTCAGTAAACCAAGGCATTGAGGAGGTCGACCTGCTGTTTTAATTTCTCTGGCCAGCCTCATTGAACTACTTGAAGTACTTTGCTTTGTTAAGCCATATTGTTAAACTGGATGATGATTAGATTCATTCTGAAGCACGATTATTCAACAGAACTAAGACCCTTAAATCTGGTCCCACATTAAATGTGCCATCTGTGGAAATCAATTGTGTTTGCCATCTGTGGAAACTTGAAATGAAGTGCTTATAATAATGATTACATGGTAACTGGTGTTGTGCTTAACTGAAGGCTAACATACATTATCAACTCAACTCAAACAAATTTCTTACCGTCCTCTATCTTTCTTACTTGTTTGTGCTGTAGTTGGCTTTCCGGTTTGAGCAATCTGTATTAGAATGATTAGCTTCAGATTGTTGTGATCCATTCATTTCTGGGACAGACATGAGCAAACTGCTTGAACTTTCTTGTGACAAGTTAAAATCTTGGGTCGGGTATAGATGAAACTAAAGGTCACCTTTAAACTTTTCTTAGATAAGATATGTCACCTGTGAATTGGATGAATCATTCTGCTATTGCTGTTTTCAGTTGAAATGTTACTAATGATATTCCTTTCCAGCAAGAGTAGTTTTTCCTTCTATTCCCTTGAAAAGATTTATAGGAGAAAATAACAAGTTGGATTTTACCAGGCAGGATATGCAGAAAAGATGGCAAATGTTTGGAAGACGGTTGCAGAGGAAACAAGTGGATATGCAAAACATGGTAGCTGAGAAGTTGCTGTATATAATGGCTTTTGGCTTCTGCCTTTCTTTATCTATTTTTAGTTTCTCTATTCCCCCTCCCGGCTCCCTTTCCCTTTCCCTTTCTTTTGTATTGTACTTTATTTGTATACAAGCTTAGAGACATGTTCATATCTTAGGCATAGATGTTTTATCCAACATATTTTTCGTCGTAGAGTTCTAATTGATAACTTGTGGGGATTTTCATTTAACAAAACTTCCCCCAGATCCTCATATGTTGAGTTCCAGCCAACATATGAGCCCGACACTAGGAGTAAGAAGAAAAGGAAAAACCTTTGAAAACTTCAAACTAACTTATATGTTACACCTACAAATTTCATGAAATCTTTTTCTTAAATAATATTGGCTGATGGTAGACTGTCTGAATATATAATCATCATCTTCAGTTTGACGTGATATATATTTTTTTTAGTCTAGATAGAAGAATGACCTATTCGAAATAGACTCCACTTTGTGGGATTTCACTAGGTTTGTTGTTGTATAGAAGAATGACCTGAAAATATTGACTCCACACACATGCAAGCATGTTTACTTCTTACTTGTGCAGTTTTTAGTGTATTTTCTGTCTCTAGGGCCAGAAATTATGGAAATTAAGAGGATTCCATTGCTGCTCAAAATAACAAAACAAAATAGCACACTTGGGTATCTACAGACAGTAGAAGAACAAAAATCACTCTCTTAATCAACCTAATTCAAGAATGAAAGAATTGTGGCACCTAACTCCTAACACACCTGCCTAAAAATGACTTTAGATGAGAAATCTAATATCTAATCATCGCTTGCTGAGGGAGCTGCAGCACCGTCGTCGTCCCCAGAACTGGTAGCTGTTTCAGGTCTAATTTCTTCTAGTTGCTGGAGAAGTTGCTGAACTTCTGGTCGAGCTGATGGTGACGGATCAACACAATGCAAAGCCAATTTCAAGGTATTCAATAATTCATCACCGATAACGGATGCATCCCTCATTAGTTCTAAATCAAATACCTCATTAGTCCACTCCTCTTTCACAATTGATGCAACCCATTGAGGCAAATCCACACCATTCATTGCTTCTCCTGGTGACTTCCCAGTTAGAAGTTCCAGTATAATAACACCAAGGCTGTATACATCTGTCTTTGAGTTTGCTTTCTTGAGTTTTGAAAGTTCAGGTGCCCGATACCCAAGTGCTCCAGCAGTTGCAATAACATTTGCATTTGCAGCAGCAGTCATTAGGCGCGAAAGACCATAATCTGCAATCTTTGCATTTGTGTTGTCATCAAGTAAAACATTGCTCGATGTAAGATTCCCATGAATGATGTTGGCATTTGTATGAAGGAAGAGCAATCCCCTTGCTGTACCCTTTGCTATTCTCATCCTTGTTGCCCAATCAATTGGTGTATCAGGACTGCGAGCTGTAAAAAACAGTAAGATTTATAATCTGAAGTTCTCACAAATACAAAGTGAAATGGAAAACTGATTTTGTGCTTACCATGAAGAAAAGTTGCCAAACTTCCCTTAGGCATGTAGTCAAAAACAAGAAGTTTCTCTCCTTTAGGTCCCATGTAATATGCTCTAAGGGCCAAAAGATTTGGATGCCTGATCTTGCCAAGAATATTGACTTCACTCTCAAATTCCCTTTGACCTCTTGTGATCTTCTCTCTCAATCTTTTCACAGCAACTTGATCGCCATCCTCTAACGTGGCCTTGTACACCGTACCATAAGTGCTCTTTCCCATTATTTCGGCGGTTGCACAAAGAAGATCATCTGCTGTGAACACAATAGGTCCATCAAAATGGACAAGTTTTCCTCCTGTATCTCCTCCTCCTGCTGCTTCAACTTCTCCAGCAGTTGGTGGAATACCCTTTTCACCTCTGGCGGCTGCAGCCGCCCTACTCGTGCCTTGACCATCCTTCCCTGCTTCAGCTGCAGATCTTTTCCTGATCAAGCAGCATAGGAGAATGCAACATAGCAGAGCCAAGATTATGAGAAGTGCCCCTCCTGCTATGAGAATTATGTCCTTAATACTTAACTTACGACGTTGCTTTTTTGGTGTTTCGGGGGATGGGCTAACTGGAGAGATTGGACATGGGGTTGATGCACTGTAACCACATAGCTGAAGATTACCCACAAAGGCACTCGAGTTGAAGTCCCGTACGAGATGAGTTGGAACAGGACCAGACAGATTATTATATGAGACATTGAAGGCACTAAGATTTGGTAAAGTATCTAAAGAAGCTGGGATTTCTCCACTTATATTATTATGAGCTAAATCTAGTTGTCTAAGAGTAGAGATGTTTCCTATAGTGACTGGAATATCACCACTAAAGTGGTTACTCCTCAAGTTGAGAACTGAGAGTTTCTGCAATTTTATTATGGCTGCTGGGATTTGGTTATCAAGTTGGTTGCTTTCCAAGTTCAAGACCACTAGTGAGGATAGATTCAAGAAGCTATCAGACAAGCTTCCATTAATGGCATTATGAGACAAATCAAGTGTTGTAAGCCTAGAGAGTCCCCCAATATGACTTGGGATAACTCCAGTCAATTGATTATGACTAAGTGAAAGCTCAACAAGTTCATTCAACTTGCCTAAGGAAGCAGGAATACTTCCAGAAAAGAAGTTGTGATTAAGTGTAAGAGACTGAAGTTGGAAGAGTCTTTTTCCATTTCCATTTCCATCCCAAGTATCTGGTATTGAGCCTGAAAGTTTGTTATACTTGAGATCAAGAAAGATGAGTGAGGGAGATTGTGTGAGACTTGTGGGGATTGAACCAGACAAAGAATTATGGCTAAGATTAAGCCTATAAAGCTTAGTTGAATTAACAAGACTAGGTGGAATTACACCAGAGAATGAGTTATTGCTGAGATCAAGTGTTTGAAGAAGAGGGCATAAACCAAGAGAAGCAGGAATAGAACCTGCTAACCTATTGTTAAAAAGTTGAAGTCCTCTAAGATTAGGTATGAGTCCCAAAGTAGAAGGAATTGAACCACCAATGACATTATCATGTAAGCTAAGTTTTCTAAGAGACTGAAATTGTCCAATTCTTTCAGTAATTCTTCCACCTAAACCTCTCCATGGAAGTTGAATAACAATAACTTGTCCTTGAGCACATTTAATACCAAGCCATCCACCAGAACAAGCTCCAAATCCACTATCATTCCAGCTTTTCAAGAACCCTTTTGGATCAACCAATTCTTGTTTAAAAGCTTGAAGTGCTTGAAAATCTGCTGCAGTAATAATTATACCATCCCAATCTTCACCTGAAGCTGGCTGAATCCCAAATATCAGTAACTGAAATAACAAGAAAAGTTGAGCAAAAAGAAAGAACCTTTTTGCAAGATGAGAAATTATGCATCTACCAACTCCTCCTTTTCGAGTTAAAAACTTGTTAACTCGAAAAGGGTATGGTTCAAAACTAGTAAAAACTCGATCTTGATCTCTCATTTCCAATCTTAAAGAATAGAATTAAGATAAATAAAAAAAATGAAACTTTCCTCTTCTTTTCTTTCTTCTCTCCCTAATTTGAAACTAAGACGCTAGTAAAAGAAGAAGATTTTGTAGTAAGAGGAGCTAAGATTCCACGTGAAGTGGAAGCATATAGAGCTAAAACTATGAGAAGTTTTATTGGGAGACATGAAAAAGTGTCAGGTGTGTAATCAGATTCACAAGACAGGCTCCAACACAAATAATTAAAAGCGTATAACGGCTAGTTTTTCTACAACTAAAATGTTTTTGGCCTTTATATTGGAAAGTTATGGTGTGTTGATAAAAAATATACTTTGAAAAGTGGGCTATTTTAATTCTGGCCACCTAATAATTAAACCTCTTCTCTAACGGCTATCTTTTTCATGTTGGGGTCCCCCATATTCTACTTAAAATTGATACTTTTGCGTTGTCCTTATTTGTTGATTTACTAATTTCGCCTGCAATGTATATTTCCTCTGTCTCAATTTAAAAGAAATGATATATATTTATATTTAATAATAATTTTACTTCAAAATATTTATTTTATTTCTAATAGAATGATTTTTAGCCACAAAAATATTTATGACTTATTTTAGATTAAAAAAATTCAAAATTATTTTTTAAACTTTATATCTAGTCAAACTATCTCATATTAATTGAAATGGAGAAAAAGTATTATGATTATGACTTGATCCTTACCGCTGGTCTAAGCGGGGGGTCCATTTAGTCATCCGAGGTTAACTAGATTTGACGTTTCCTTATAACAAATATATCGCTTCTTCTCATTTTGTGCTCTTCCAATTGGATAACGACAATCAAAAAGTACTTCCCCTCTCAATGATTCATTTGGGTTCACACAAATTATATAAACAAGGAAGGAGGGGAGGATTTTTTAAAAAAATAATGGTCTAATAAATCTTAAATATTTATATAATTATTTCATTAAAAACATAGAAGTTGAGTTTTTTTTTTAATAAAAAAGGTTATTCATTTTTAGATGGGTTAATGAAAAAATGTGATAGGTAAATTGAAATGGAAGGAATACTAAGAGTTTTGATAATGCAAATTTTGATGGAAGATAAGTTTAATGTATCTTAAATATATATTTGTGTGTGGGGTTGGTTGTTTTATTATAGTTTTTGTTTATGATATATAATAGTTTTTTCTTGTTTTCAATAATTTGTTCTAATATGTTGTTTTTTAATTTTCGCACTATTACGTTGTTATTGTTTCTTTTAGTAGATTTTGCACCATTTCTTTGTGATTTACTACTATCTTTTTTTCATTGTCTCCTCCTTCTTCACTTGAGAGAAATTTTGACCGAAGTAAGCCACTATTTAAATTAATTCATCAAAATAATATGGTTTTTTTTTAATTTTACAAAACTAGAATAAGCGTATTTGGTAGTAACGTTTTAGGTATTATTTTATTTAAAAAAACCAATGACAAAAGACAGAATTCTGACGGAGGGAACATATATAAAACGTTACTATCAAATACGTTTTATTAATTCGTTACTCACCTATACATTTTAAGGCTAAAACGTTAGGGACAATAACGACTCTTTAGGCATGATGCTCTCGATTTCTCTAATGAAGAAAATTTCTTCATTAACAAGAAAGAAAGGCTTGGAAAATTGAATTAAGTTCTTCCTCAATACAAGAGATTATTTAACAAGTATATGGTGCAGTAACTAATGGAGTAGATTATTTTAGAAAATTTACAAACTCATGGTTTAGGTTTTTGAAAAAATCGAAAAAAAATTAATTACATTTTATCAAAAGATAATTTATTGTAACTCATATTTTTTATTTTTTGCAAAAAAATAATTGAATAACGTTACAACTATATTTTATATATAAAAGTATTTATTGTCCAATTGGTGGCTGTACGTTATTTTTAACTTATAGGTAATATTTATTACAACTTATACTTTCATGAATTACAATATAAAAGTATTTACTTTGACGTAATTTCTAAATATTATTTATAAGTTTTCAAGATGGGCTAACAAAATATAAGTTTTCAAGTTTATCTTTTAACATATTTTTTAAAGATTTTTGAGACTTAGAATTTTGAATGGTCCAATAAAGGTAATAGTTCATATATATTAGTAACTCTAATAAAGCTCAATTTGAAATCAAATCAATACTATGCTAACAAAATAAATTAATTCAACACTAAGAATGACAATAATGTTGAATAAAACTGTCAATATGGGCTAACCCACTCCATCCGGGCTAACCCAATACAAGCTTTGAAATTTTATGGGCTAGCCCATTTTTTGTGTGGGCTAGAAAATGATCGTCCCAGCCCACAAGTATGTGGGCTACGGGCCAACCCTCTTTTTTAAAAGGTATATTTTTGGGGAAATTGTGCATAATGGCAAACTATTAATTTAAAATAAATAATATAGTTACTGTTTCAATTATTTCCTTTGAGTAGCTACAATTTCACATATCTTGCTACTACTGACGGGTCCCACGATTTGTATAGGTAAATAAAAAAACGAAAGTTATTCCTTTTATACAATTCACTTCATCTCCTTCCTCTCTCCCATACCTTTCAATTTCTCCTAAATTCTCTCCATAAAATTAGTTTGAATTTCAAATCTTCACCACTACGCTCTCAATCGTAACTTCAAAAATTTCAGGTACCACCAAAACTTGTCTAAATCGATTTTTTTTTTCAATTTTTCCGATCCAAGTTTGAAAATGACCCAATTAGAATGGATGAAATTATCACAAAGTCAAATACAAAAGGCGAATCTAGTTCAACAGAGAAGAGGAAAGCAAAATCAATTGATTCTACCAGTGATCAGTCAAAATCATCTGAAGACATTGTCCATGGCTTAGTGAACAGGATGGATCTGAAGAAGTTAATGTATATGTATAAACAATAATTATTTTGTTCTATTTTATGATTGCATAATAAACCCTTATATATATATATAATAGTAATACTTTCTCAGATTTATTATGTTTATTTGTTTGTTTTTACATATTTGTATAATTTTTTGATTATTTGTTGTAGACACCATTATCATGCATATGAATTTCCTTTATACAATTATATGCTGTATAAAAATTAATTGTATATATATAACATTTGTTTGTATATAATTTGTTGTTTGTATATGTGTCATAGTTATACATAACAAGATCTGTCTGTATAATTTCTTTAAGTATATATGTGGTAATTTTGTTTATATACAATTACTATGTTTTAGTTTTAGTTTGTTTATACATATTCTATAAATTTTGCACAAAAGACATTGTATATACAAGTAGGAGTAGATATTAGCATTTGTTTGTATATAATTTTCTATTTGTATATTTTTCATAGTTATACATAACAATACATGTCTGTATAATCTCTTTAATTATATATATATGTAGTAATTTTGTTTATAAACAATTACTATGTTTTAGTTTGTTTATACAGATACAATAGAGTCCCAACTAATGAAGAAGTCTAGAAGGAAAGAAATCCTATTAAAATATAATGTGCATGAGTTTAGCGATTTTCTTCTTTTTTTTGTGACAAAAATTAGCGCATTTTTCTTTATTTATTTTTTAAAATCAAATTGTATATAAATTGGCAAGATTATCAAAATATACAAATTAGAAAATCACAACAAAAAAGAACATATATTTATACAAATTATAGCCAAGTCAATTTAATATACAGATTTCAAATATATACTTATACAAAGTATATCTACATAGACAAATTACAACCATATACAAATATTCAATTGACAATCCTAACATAATAGGCATATACTTATACATATTATATGTAATATACAAACTAAATTATCACAACAAAACACGAACCTGCACTGAATTAATATGCAAGTTCACAAAAATTGAACCACAAAATATAAGATTATACAGAACGGACTAAATCATATACAGATTTCACGTATATACAAATACATAGAGTATGTGTATATATAAACTACAACTACAAATAAATATATAATTGACAAGCATAACATAAAAGACTTATACATATACAAATTGTACACAATATACAAACTAAACTATCAGATATACAAATTAAACTATCAGAACTAAGGACGAATCGACATTGTATATATATACAATTTCATTGTTCATTCATAGATTCAAATTAACAACAACTAATATACAAATGAGAACAAACAACATAGATTACTATCATAATATACAATCCTATAAATTAATGACTTTCAAAAAACAAATCTACTTTCAAAAATGAAGGATAAACAACAATATCTTCTACAACATTATAGAATCACAAATTTTTTTTGTAGAAATAAACGGATGATCTTTCTCGAATTTGAACAATACTTTCAAAAATGAAGGGTAAACAACAATATATCTTCCAGATCATTGTACAAGCACAATTTTTTTGCATAATTCAACAAATGATTTTACTCGAATTCGAACAATGATTGCGACTATATGAGTTGGAATCTATTACATCTAAAAAAATACAATTTAGATTGTTCATTCAATTGATGAATGTTTAAAAGCAAAAATGAGTTTCAATACACGAAAAACACCAATTTCGATATGAAAAAAGTAAAATCAAAGCATTTTTCGGCATGAAATACATTTTACTTCCTCTTGTTATCTCTAAAATTGATTTGATCTCGATTGCTTGAAGAGAATCACCAAAACTTGATCGATGTGATTTACCCAGTTACAATGGAGTCACTACTGATGAAGAAGTCGTAGAAGGAAAAAGATCTTTTTGTGTGAGTTTAGCAATTGTCATCCTTTTTTTTAACATAATTTACAGCCTTTTATTAAATTTATTTAAAAAATAAAATTGTATATAACTTCAAATGAATCTTGAAATATACAGATTAATAGCTCCATAGCAAACATAAAATTTGTTATGGAGCGCAATTATGCAAACAATAGCTATAGCCAGGGGCGAATTTATGTATTAAAATTGGGTCACCGGAACCCGTGGTCATCTGACTAA